AGGGTGGGAGTGGGATCAGGACTGGGGCAGAGGGTCGGGGTGCAGGCTCCAGGTGGCGCTTACCTCAAGCCGCTCCCGGAAGCGGCAGCACGTCCCATCTCCGGCTCTTACGTGGAGGCACAGCCAGGCAGCTCTGCACGCTGCCTCATATGCAGGCACCACCCCTGAAGCTCCCACTGGCCGTGGTTCCCAGCCAATAGGAGCTGCTGGGGCAGTGCTTCGGGCGGGAGCAGTGCACGGAGCCCCCTGGCTGCCCCTACGCGTAGCAGCTGGAGGGGGGCATGCCACTGCTTCCGGGAGCTGTGCGGAGCCACAGCACACGTGGAGCAGGGCAAGCCCACAACCTCGCTCACCAACGGGAGCTCGAGGACCTGATTAAAATGTCTGAAGGGTTGGATACGGCCCCTAGGCCGTAGATTGCCCACCCTTGCCATAAGGTGAAGCGGGTTCGGGTTGGGATGCCAGACTCGCCCCTGATGTTGGCTGAAGAGGTCTAGGAGAGTTCGGAGGCAGAGAGGTGCCCAGGTGGAAAATCTGAGGCGGTCTGAGAACCAAAACTGGTGTAGCCAATATGGGGCTATGAATATGACAGTGGCATGGTCTTGTTGAATCGTGCAGAGGACTTGTAGTAGGAGGGCAATGGGGGGAAAGGCATAGCAGAGGTCTCCAGTCCAGGACAGCAGAAGTGCGTCACTTTGGGAGTCCTAGCTCAGGTCTCCCCTGAAGAAATAGACAGGCAACTTGCAATTCTTGTGAGCGGCGAAAAAAATCCCAGCAAGAGGTGCCCCAGATTCAGAATAGGTAGCAGAGAGCAGGGTCATGCAGCTCCCACTCATGGTTGTGGTGGAGAGCTCTGCTGAGTGCATTTGGCCATGGAATTTTGGGTGCTCGGCAAGTACATAGCCTGGAGCATGATATGATGGTGGATGCACTAGTTCCACAGGTGTATTGACTCTGCACAGAGGGATGGAGACCAGGCACCTCCTACTTTGTTGATGTAGGAGAGGAGCTGCATATGCGGTGATTGGATCAGAGAAAGAAATGCCTGGCAGGCTAGGCAAGCTGCTGAGAGCTCCTGAACGTTGATGTAGAGCCTGGCCTCTTGCAGTGTCCAAATACCCTGGGCTGTGTGTTGGTGGAGATGGTCCCCCCAGCCCGCAAGGGAGGCATCTGTTGTGATGGGGTGGGGGTGGTGAAAGGGCTACTGATTATGACATTGGAAGGGTCGGTCCACCAAGTGAGGGAGGCCAGAACTGTCCGAGGAACCACAACCCTGGCGGTCACATGATCTCCTTGGGGTCTGTACATGAAGAGGAGCAAGATTTGTAGGCAACGCATGTGTAGATCTGTATGTGGTGTCACAAAAGTGCAGGCCGCCATTGGCTGAGGATGGAGAGGCAACAGCATACTATGATGCAAGGGGCACAGCGGAGCATTGTCACTAGGGCTGTCAGCGTTGAAGAGGTCTGATGGAAGGAAGGCATGAGCCACAACTGGGTCAAGCTGCATGCCAATAAAGTTGATCGTCTGAGTAGGGAAGAGCGCTGACTCCTCCTCATTGATGCAGACACTTAGAGGGGCCAGGAGAGCGCGAAGAATGGAGATGGCAGAGCTAAGCTCCTGTCGGGAGAGCGCAATGAGGAGCCAGTCATCAAAGTAGGGGCATGCCGAGTAGCCAAGGCAGCGCATGTGAGCCATCATGACCTCAAAGACCTTCGTGAAGACTCACAGAGCTGTCACAATGCCAAAGGGGAGGACTCAGTATTGATAGTGGTGTTGCCCCATCTAGAAACAAAGGAATATCCAGTGGCCCAGGTGGACGTCGATGTGGAAGTATGCATCATTCATATCAAGGGCTGTAAACCAGGCCTCAGGGGGGAAGAGAGGGGATAATAGAAGCCAGCATCACCATATGGAACTTGGATTCTTGGATAAAAGGTATTTAGGAGATGAAGGTCAAGAATGGGGCGGCGCTCTCCGCCCTTTTGGGAATGAGGATCTATGGGGAGTAGAAGCCTCTGCTTAGTAGGGAGGTGCCACAGGCTCTATGGCACCCTTCAGGAGAAGGGCATCAACCTCTTGTTGTAGAAGGTATTGATGGGAGGGATCCCCTGGAGGCTTTTGGGTGGGGGGGCTCTGGAGGGGGAATGAAAAATTCTATGGTGTTTCCTTGGTGGATAATCTCCAGTACCCAATGGTCCATGGTGATCTTGCCCCAACTGTGGGTGAACAGGGCAATGCAGCCCCCAAAGATGATGTGTGGGGCCACAGGTGGCAATGGGGAGAGTTTGCAGCTCTTGACCGACACATCAAAACTATGCCCTGGGTTGTTTTTTGGTGAGAACTGAGGAAGCGGTTACAACAGAGGTGGTGTGACGGGTGGCACTGGCGTGGGGGTTCCTGGTGCCACTGGTAGTATGACAGGTAGGGTGCATACAGCTTCCTCCGGAGAGGAAGAAGAGGCTGTAGGGACCAGCAATACTGGCTCAACCTCCGCCTCGGAGCCTGATGGTAACAGCAAAGGAGCTGGGGCAGATTGGTATGACGCCTGGGAGAGAGGGTACGGAGGGTGGTAGGTGTCCCAGGGTAGCCAATGGGGCCAAAGAGTAGAGAGCTGGGTGTGCAGCGGGCCTCAGGGATATTGGTGCCACATCACCAAGGCCAGGTCATAAGCAGGAGGTTAAGGTGGGCAGGCAGTAGCGAGAGTCAGACCTACGCTTAGAGAAAAGACTGGCTCCGGGTCAGAAAAGCCCTCGGAGTCTGAAGATGCCTCTTGAAATGGGGGAGCAGACGGTGTGGCCAGATCACGGTGCAGCACAGGCATGGCCCTCTCCAGCAGGAGCAGGACTGGCTCATTCACCAGAGTGGGAATCGCACGGGTGAGTGATGGGTCAGAGAGCAGTGATGAAGGTGGGTTGGGCAGCTCCAGCTCTTCCATGGAGAGAAGGGGCTCCAGACAGCCAGGGGTTCACGCAGTATCCCTGGTGGCAGCAGAAGATTGCGGTGGAGTCTTCACAGCTGGAGCACAAAGGTCATGCACAAAGGTCATGGAAGCGATGGGGGGATGGGCAGCGAGCATGGAGGAGACGGCACAGAGCGGGGCACTGATGGTGCCGCTGGATCAGTTTTCTTCTTTGCCTTATCCTCAAGGCAGGGAAGCTTTGGCGCCGGTGCAGTGGGGTCGGCACGCGACTTCTCACCCAAGAAGCTTGGGGCAGAAAGGCTGTGCTTGGAAGCAGCCCTCGATAGGGACTTGCTTCTGTGCCTAGGAGAGTGCTTCCTACTTTCATGCCTAGGACTGTCGGGTCCAAGGCAAGAGAAGAGGTGGCATGGAACCCGCCGATTCCAATGGTCCCAGATCCGAGTGGGCATGCAGCCTCATGGCCTCCTCCATGAGGTGCTTTCTCAGGCAAAGCCGTCATGCCTCTCGAGTCCATGGCGAAAAAGCCTTACTGATGGCACAGCGATACAGGCTTCCCCGAGGCAGTACAGACAGCATTGGTGCTCATCATTCACGGAGAACAAGCGAGGCCAGGAAACACAGTTCTTAAACTGCAGATTGTGGAGCATAGTCCCAGGAGGGACCCTGTATGACCCCAACTGGGGAAACTATTACTAATGAACTATCACAACTACATAAAACTATGGAAAACTATCTACACTACAAAAACAACAAAGTAGTACTATATACAGGAAGAGTAAAGGCTATCTTAGTGTAAAGACGAAGATCGCAGAGGACCAGGGATTCCGACTCCAGCCACGTGGCAGTAAGAGGGAACTGAAGAGATGCTGACCAACACAGCCTATCATAACCTGTGCTGGGAGCATGAGGAAGCGCACTGCGCACGTGTGGATCAACGGACATCGCTCCAAAAACCTTCTGGCTCTAGTCCTGACACGCATGCACTTCATCAATCAGAGAAGAATCAGTCTTTCTTTACAAAAATAACTAAAAATACAAACTACTGAAGACTAAGAAGGAGCCTTCAGTATCCCAAATTTCACTCAGGATGATCCTCTGAGAATTTTAATATCCCTGATTATTTCAGCAACAGAAGCTATAAAAATGCAGTCACTCTGCCCTCCTTAGTCAGTGCAGGCCAGCGAGTCCTGTACTATTGATCTGTAGTTCAATTGTGTCGACAGGCTCCAATCAGCATCAGAGCTCCATTGTGTTTGTCCTGTTCAAACAACATATAAGACTGTCCATGCCACAAGCATTGCCAATGAAATAAAGGGTGAGGTAATATCTTTTATTTAACCAACTTCTGCTGGTGAGAGAGACCTGAAAAAGAGCTCCGTGTAGGCTTGTCTTTCTCACCAACGGAAGTTGGTCCAATAAAAGATATTACGTCACCCACCTTCTCTGTAATATCCTGGGACCAACACAGCTACAACTACGCTGCATACTGAAATAGTAACAATGTGGACATGGGTATGGAACATAATGGAGCGGGGAGGGCGAAAAAATGACTAACAGGAACGTAAGATCACACAATTTGGACTCTTCTTAGGTTCTGGGGGTCCCTCCCCATCCCTGCTTTTTTTAAAAAAAATCCAACTAAGTGAATTAGAAATATTAATGAATCTCTATCAGGCCACCTGCCTAGCCGTTATCATTAGGTCATTTACTGTGACTATTACAGTGGAGATTAATCTCAAGAGATTTGAAGACAGTAGTGGCTCAGATAGCTTATCTGGAGAAGATATTCCATCAAGTGACAGCATGGAGGATGTCTGCCTGCTATCTCAAAGCCTACAAAATGGCATTTAAAAATCACAAAAATTATTTTTAAGTTATGAGCATAGCTACTTCCTCTTAGAAAAAAAATTAAATAGAAAACACTAATTTTTCAGGCTATAACTATATACACTAAATTCTAAAACAAAACACAGCTGGAGGTTTAAAACAAACTCTAACATCCACTTTCATACAGTAGTGTTAGTGTTATATACTCTACAGTCCATTAAGGCAATCAAAATTGCAGTTGAAGTCTTACCTGGTCATACAGTTTTTCATCCACTAGGAGATAGGTTTTTGCCCAACGCTTAAGAAACCATACAATATCTTTTCCCATTTGTGGACTCAGAAGGTGTGTTAGATCCGCCCTTATTGCTCGAGATTCTACTTCTGAAACTCTTAGAATAGCAGATAATAACCTGCAGATATGAAGTATAATTAAGATACTTGACTTTGGGTTTTGGTGGATTTTTACCTTTTGGGGTTTAAGCAGGGTCAATTACCCAAGCAGGGTGGCATGGCCACAATAAAGATTTCCATTCTTCATGGAATGGGGTGGAAGAAGCAAGACATCACCAAGTATTTCCTCTTTCTATGGATGGAGTGTAAGCACCCTCAGGATATTCTCTCTTTATACATGGATGGTGGGATGGGATAGAGATGCTAGAATATCCTAGTCAAGTCCAAGAGAATGCATTTGAAATTGGACTCTGAAATCTCTGCAGCAGGAAGAATTCTCTCCAGTACTCTGACATCAGGGGAAATGGGAAATATTACAATTGGAACACTGCCTAAAGGACTTTAAAAGCTTTTACTGAGACATCAGTATTTCCCCTCTCCCTCGCATTATTACCTATAAACTTTGGACAGTCTCAGGAGCATGTGCAAACTAAATCAAATCAAATACTGAAAGTAAATTATCTGACTATTTTTGTTACTGTACAGTGTATATACTTCCTCCCCCTCAGCCATATCCCTGATAGACCCTAGCGACTCTCTTCCTTTAGAACAGATTTTATTCCCTATTCCACTGGACACACACAATTGGACAGTATTGCTGCTTCTTTTTTTTGCCAGCTAGAGGGAGGGATCATCAAGGAGCAACATAAAGGTACTCCTTTACCTTTCAAGGACGAAGTATAACACTTCCACATCACTTCTAGACCTGTCAATCCAGGGACCAAATGAATGGGAATGAAAAGCCATCTCTAGCCTCCTATAGTAGATTAAGGCTGGCATGAGACAGACACAGAAAACTAATTTTAACCCTGGGTGAAGTAATTTCCACATCCATTAGTGTGCTACATGATCCCCTTAATTTGAACCCTCAAACTCTGAGACTCTGCTTTGAGCCATTGTTTTCCTTTCTTCTTCCTTCTTTCTGCATTAATCCCATCAAGCGGGGTCAGTGCTGAATTCTCTCCCTCCAAAGTGCTCTGTTCAATGCCATATCCTCTATCATAACACGTTAACATGTCTTCCTTTATGACATTCCACCACTACTTCTTGGGCTGGCCTCTGTCTTTTTCCTTCAGTCTTGATCTGTTGGGATTCTCTTATCCTCATACCTGTCAGGACTGTACTTTACATGACCAAACCATCTGAGCCTGCACTCCCTCATTTTTTTTGATTTATGGGTCATACTTTAAGCATGTCTTTAACATACACATTCCTCGTGCGGTCTTTTTTCTGACTCCACTCACCCATCTTAACATCTGCATTTCTGTTCAACAGATCATTTGCTCATGTTTCTTCTTTGTTGCCCAACACTGAGCACCATACACATCATTCTTCTTCCCAAAAAGGATGGAAATCCCTTCTGAACCCCTTACGCTGGTCCTTAAAATAGGCCAGTAACTGAGTGTCTGAGCGACAGCATTCTTTCCCCACTGAAGGCCAACAGAGTGCTTCTGGAGCAATCCCAGGGACCAACAGTTCATGACAGAAGCAAACAGTCCCATTTAATACTTTGGAAAGCTTGGCAAACGGTCATTTTGTTTATGCATGCTGTAGAAGGCAGTATGCAATTAATCTATATAGTCTTATCTAGAGATTTTAATTCAATGATATTTCAAACATTTAGTCTCATATGTTCAAAAAAGAAACACTATTTATTTTGGTTCTTGATATATACTGGCAAAAGATATTTGTTTCTACAAAGATGTTTCTCCATCTCTACTGCAAACTGAATTCTGCATTTCTCTCCAGGAACTTGCTCCACCTTCCCCTGATGACTACCTACTTACCTGTCCGCTTGCTCTAGCTCTCTACTCTTGGGACTCTCCTAAGTCTCTCACAATTTGGAGTTAGAGGAATAATCAGTTTTATTTGTCTTGCCCCATCTTCAATACTTTCCAATCCTACCTTTTCCCATGCCACTGAGTCACCTTTAGCTTAAAATTTCACCTTAAGACTGTTACTTTAACCTACAATTGATTTAATTCTTCCTACCTTTTCTTTTCTACCTTTATAGCATTACCTTATTATCCCTGTACTATAACTAATCTGACAGAACATCTACTTCAATTTTAAAAGATATAAAGAGAGATCTCTTTTCCTTTCCCATATTCAATGTTCATGCATTGTTTCCCTTTTTCCAAGATGCATGAGACCATCAATAGTTTTATCTCCTATCTACCTATATAAATTTGTTTGAGATATTCTGAATGGAAGCTGCTATAGACGGTGTTGTATTCTTACCTAATTACAGAATCAGTTCTGTTGTATCCTGGGATGGAAGAGGCCTTTTCTCCTGGAGATCCCAGGATCTGAAGTGTTGTATTGATGTCAACCTCAGTTGAATGCTTAATGGAATATTCCATTACTTCTGGAGGTATTAGTGGAGTCTCTCCCTGAGTATCATTAGCTAAGAGGTAGCCTAAAGTAGAGAGAGAGAGAGAGAGAGAGAGAAAGAAAGAAAGAAAGAAAGAAAGAAAGAAAAAGTGACCACAAGTTTTTTGCCCTAGATTAAGTTTTTCCATTTTAGGACTTTGCTTTTTAAGTCTATTGGCTTTACAGCAGAGGTTAAATGGCATTGGAATCAATCCTGACTAACAGTGCTAAATATATATCTTAATCAATTATGTATTTCAGTACTGTGTGTACAGATGAGAGAAGAGATCCTAAAATTATAACTGGAAGTTAAAGATGAAAAGTAATCCCTGAACAAACAAAATACAGAACACGTTTGCATCACCTGCAGATACCAGAACTGATGCCTCTGTAGAATAATAATTTTTTACACTACATTTCTAATAGTTTTTTTTCTGCAGCCATGTGATAAAATGTCTTAATTTTACAGTTTCAACTCATCTGCACTCTGCCCACTAATCAATCTAAATTGAGACTGCTAACAATCCAAGCCTTTTAGCAGCTTTCAAAAGAATGCCAAACAAACTTACCACAAAAAAAGGTTTCCTTCTTTTCATAGTAAGCGTACCTCAGGTAGAAGAAGGTATTTAAAAATACAGTATGTCTGATGTCCAGGATAGGCAATATTCGTTCCTGGTCTAGTGACAACTGTAATGTCCGATGTACCAGAACTCACCAGAACTAGAAATAAAAACTTTATCCCAGGAGGGATAATGGTATGGCTAGTAAACTGTATACCATATTTACATCAAGATCTGGTAATCACTAAGACATCAGACATTCAAAAATCACAAAACCCTGTTTTATTAAACATCTTAAAAGATGTACATTTTTATTTCAATATTTCTGCCACTGTGGCATGGGCATAGTAACTAAGGTAATTTGGTTTTATGAATCAATATAAAAGATAGTACCAATAAAAAGTTTGAAACTTAAAAATGTTTCAAAAATAAATTGCCCTAAAATGCAGCAAAATATGTATGGTGCTGTGTGGTTGCATCAGTGTTTTATTGACACTCTATTTGGGATGATCTGCATAACTCACTCAGGTCTTTGTCACTCAGTAACATGGCCATCAGAAACTCATGCCAGTAAGTTCTTTTTGCCATTACATACCTCAGATATTCTCTATTTATGATCTTTCACTGACAGCAAGCTACCTGAATATGGCGACTGACTATACTTAAGAACAAACAGGTCAAAAGTGTATGACAAAATCAGTACAAGCACAGAAAGTAAGATGTCTTCTGTTAACATTTTTCTAAGCATCTTCATAAGAAACAAATTATTTCTATCACAATTAACATAAGGAAATAAGAAAAAGAATGATAAAGTAACCCAGTATTGTTGAAAGGCAAATGATACGTTTGCCTCTATAGTTTGTGAAGTATCTATATGAGACGAAAGATAATGACCGCATACAAATCAATTACAAGGATGAGACATATGGATTGATAGATGCACTGCAGTTTTGGCTGAGGAGCTCCAGTCTCAGATACAGTATACCAATATTTTATGTGTTTAACACTTCCACTAACCTGTGACTAAAATAAGCCAATGAATATCCTCATACAGGTCATCAAGCACTTTATTGTCAATTGACCCTGATCCTGGTGAGGCAAGTAACTGCTGCTGATGTCTTTGCAACTGACCATGGAGCCTTGTCACTCTGTCTTCTAATAAACTGAAGAAAAACAATGAGCAAATAACTTTATGTAGTCATTACATAAATTAAGGTTATATTAAAGAATTAAACTCTGCTTAACATGAGATTTTTTTGTTTAAATCATCTGACTGAAGTACAGTACACTTTTATAATTATCTCTTGTACCTTGTAAGAAGAGGTATACAGTGTTCTGCAGCAATTCTTCCTAGCATGCCTACACTGGCCAGCTGGTCAGAGAACTGGTCTCTATCATCTTCCTGCAGTTCGCTTATTTCTTCTTCCTCCCGAGAGGCTACACCATTGGCAGTCTGATATGATTTTAAATAAGTTAAAAGTCATCAATCAATGTATATTATACAAGATATCTACTGTGTTAAGAATATCAGACTATGCAAAGAAGAAAAAAAATCACTTTTCTACACGCTTTTCAATTTTTTGGTGTTCCAGATGGAAAATCAGAAATGTAAGTTTAAGTTTAATAAAATATACGTAGAAGAATTAAGAAGAGAGTTGGTGACTTAATGCCCATGGTTTTCTGGAATCAGGGGTATGACTAGGTCTTACCTCTGAAACAATCACTGAACTCTGAACTCAATTCTCTTATAAAACTGGAATGCAATAATGTAAGTCCAGATATTGAATGAGACTATTTCTAATAAATGGAGGAATTACAGACTGGCCACTGGATGCCAGTGACAGACAAAACATGATAGGAGAAACAGAAGGAGAAAAAAACAGGAGGAAAAAAATCTCACCCTATCTCCCAAACTTTTCTATCTGAATCAGGAGCTCAAACAAAATGCAACCTACGATAGGCCAAGTGAAAATGGCTTTAGGTGCATTTGGCTAACCCCACTGATCACACAGAACAGGCTCAACCAATCAAGGAAGAGGCAAAATATACAGTTTGTTCTCAAGAACTAGCTTTGGGCTTGAAATACGTCACCAACATACCAATAAAATTGCCATCGACAAACTGAGCAAAAAGATTCTAAAATTCAAACACATCACTACTGGCTCACAGACACTAGTTTAGACACTAACCAAGACTGAATTACTACATTTGCTATCTGAGTCACATATACAAGAGGCCAGGAACTAATATTTTAAGCTATGAAAACACTGAGGCTGGATATTTTGTTTGCCAACTTCATACACAAGTCATGACAAAGACAACATTGGCAGTTCTAGAGATTTTATTGGGAGTCCTACCATGTTTGATGTTTTAAAATCTAGCTCCTGGAGTCTTGTTATTACGTAAAAATCAGAGCTTTCATTAAGGAAAAGAAAAGTTTCCAGCCCTCATTGTTTACAGAGTAAAGGTTGAAAAAGTGAATACTGAAAGCTCAAAAAATCAGAAGTGAAATAAGAACCACCTTAATTTTTTTTTTATAAATCTCACGATTTTTAGTAAATCTCTATTTTTGAAAACTCAGGTTGGTAATATTGCAAAGACCCTTTAAGTAACATCACGACTTATTTCCAAGAACAAATACACTACATTTATGGGAAAATGGATTTCAGTGTTAACTGGAAAGTTAAGTATGAAATTGCAGTAGTTGATAAGAGAGAGAGAAGATTGTGTGTCAGAGAAAAGTATCTTTTTGCTGTCATTCTAGAAAGGAGCTGGGAAACTGAATCCAAACCTTAAATCCTCCCGAAGTGCTTTTAAATGCCTCTTTTCTTTATCTAAACTGGCAAATAATTCTCTTTTGGTCACTTCAAAGTTGCAGCTGCTCACTGAAGAGTGCTTTCCTATTTGAAAGTTCCAGCCACTGCTTTGATATTGAACAAGCAGCATTCTGAAATGCCAGCTGTGGCTTTTAAAAGGTTATTCATGGGATAAACGACTTATCTCACAGAAGGACATGAATTAACCTGTGTATACAAGTTATGTTAAGACTGTCTGTTATGAATTCAAGGTCTCTTGTAAAATATTCTTCACTATACTGAAACTCTTACCACCATCTGTTAGGCATCAAGAGAAACGAAGTAGGTTTATATGGTATTTTTCGGAAGTGAGGTATCTCAAAGTCCTTTAAATACCATCAAGTTCGATATTACTGTATAAAAATTGGGCAATCATTAATATGCTCAAGATTTACATTCAACAGTCTACATCAGAACCTGTTTTAAGGGACAGAATGTTGGGATTGATTACTTTAGAAGGAAAGGATAAAATGTTGGGATTTTCCCATGAAAATGCCATGGAATGTTTAAAATTTCCTCCTGGACAGCTAACACAGAAAGGCTGTATGGACCCTGGTTTACCATTTTATCCAAAAGGACAGTATCTCTACTAAAGCAGTTTCTCCTAGTCTAAGCCCACAGTCCTACTGTGTATCTGATAAGTTTACACATATAAAATACACTTAAAAGGGGACAACAAAATAAGAATTTGGTGGTTAAGTACAGAGAGAATTAACAAGCGCACTATCAGGTTTATAATTCCATTGAAGGATTTTTGGTTTCATCAAAATTCCGCAAAAAAGGTAGTAATTTATTTTGTCACTAGACCCAAAGATGGAAGGATAAGAGGTAAGCAAATTTTTCAATTATAGGGCTATTTTATATATTTAATAAAGCCAAGGTTTTAAAAGCATTCTCCACCACTGCTCTCCCCTTATCTTCTCTTTAAGATGAGAGGAAAAAGGCTGTCAAAGAACCCTCTCCTGTGTCAAACTCAGCACAGAGTAATTGCTAATCATGTTTTTTTCATCACTACTGCAGACCATGTAAAAAAATTTCTGTTACCTCCTTTAATAGTTACTTAAGTAGTATATATCTAAGAAATGTTTAATTACTGTATACACTATCAGAGTGCTTATTATTACCCCAAGAACCGCACATTAAGAACTTACCAAGTTCCTTGTACCATCAGGAGCAGCTAGGTGGCACTGAATATAAGAATTAAAAACCTGAACAGCATGTTGCGTAAAGAAGCCTTTGTGGAAATGTTTGTCATCTTGTACCAAGGTAAGCCAGGATTCCAGCAATTTATCATATGCCTCCATGTATACCATGTCATCTTTGTCAAGCTGTAAGAAAAAGATTATTACCAAACTAAACAAAGCGAAACAAATCAAAATTGCATTAGTAATCATAAATCTTTAACAGATATTCTACACATTTTTATAAACAATTAATATAAAGATCTGAGCTGAATTCAGTTACAACTGCTATAAAAGATACACACAAGAGTTCAAATGGATTCCCTGACATATCACATCACATGACAAGGGCCAGCAAGTTTTCATGCTGGTTATACTTTTTAAAAAACTGGTAATCTAAAAAACAAAAATAAAGTTAAGAAGATCCTTCCCTGCACCTAAAAGTTTAACATCAAAATCTTCTTCCCAAATTACAACTTTAAAACCTAAAGATAGGCACATAAATAAGTAACCTGATTTTCAAAGGTGATGTGCACTCACAGCTCCTCTTGATACCAATATTATATTATAATATATAAAATATAATATAATCACACACACATAATTAAGGCTGTGTTTCTGTCACAGAGGTAGCGGATTCCATGACTTCCTCAGCTACAGTGGCTGTTGCATCTAACCCCGCGGACAGCTGCTTGAGCACTCCGTGGCCAGCCGCACCAGCCGCTGCTGGAGCGGCCCCAGGGCTGGCCACACTGGCTGCTGCTCGGACAGCCTTGGGCAACTGGCCCTGAGAACCGCCCAAGCAGCAGCTGTCGCTGTGGCAGCCGGAGTGGCGGCCCCGGATGCCGCCAGAGTAGTAGTTTCCGGGAGCCCTGGAGCAGCGGGCCGCCAGGGGAAGTCAGCCCCCAATGCTGGAGCAGGGGTCCCCTAGAGCAGCAGGGCCCCATGAACAGAGATTTAGTCACAATGGATATTTATAGTAAAAAAGTCATGGACAGGTCACGGGCTGTGAATTTTTGTTTATTGCCCGTGACCAGTCCATGACTTTTACTAAAAATACCCGTGACTAAATCTTAGCCATATATATAATATATAAAATCACACTTTAAAAAAAAAAAAAAAAGACAGACAAGAAGGTGAAAGAATCCTCTACTCTGGGGAGAAGCACCATTAGGATTTGAATCTTCACAGTACACAATTACAGGTAAACTATTTTTTTTTTTTTTTATAAAAGTGGCAAAGAGTCCTGTGGCACCTTACAGACTAACAGACGTATTGGAGCATAAGCTTTCATGCATCTGACAAAATGGGTATTCACCCATGAAAGCTTATGCTCCGATACGTCTGTTAGTCTATAAGGTGCCACAGGACTCTTTGCTGTTTTTACAGATCCAGACTAACACGGCTACTCCTCTGATGTTTTTTTATGATAATTCAAAACAAGTCATCAATCTTGGAGACTAAAAATGGCAGGGATCATTCCACAAAACCACACACACAATAGATAACTGAAAGTGCAGGTAAGATGAACATACATTTGAGAAAAGAAAAGGAGTACTTGTGGCACCTTAGAGACTAACCAATTTATTTGAGCATGAGCTTTCGTGAGCTACAGCTCACTTCACCGGATGCATACCGTGGAAACTGCAGCAGACTTTATATATACACAGAGAATATGAAACAATACCTCCTCCCACCCCACTGTCCTGCTGGTAATAGCTTATCTAAAGTGATCATCAGGTTGGGCCATTTCCAGATCAGATGTCAAGAATTATAACATTCATAAACCAGTCGGAGAACACTTCAATCTCTCTGGTCACGCAATCACAGACATGAAGGTCGCTATCTTAAAACAAAAAAACTTCAAATCTAGACTCCAGCGAGAAACTGCTGAATTGGAATTCATTTGCAAATTGGATACTATTAATTTAGGTTTAAATAGAGACTGGGAGTGGCTAAGTCATTATGCAAGGTAGCCTATTTCCTCTTGTTTTTTCCTACCCCCCCCCCCCCCAGATGTTCTGGTTTAACTTGGATTTAAACTTGGAGAGTGGTCAGTTTGGATGAGCTATTACCAGCAGGAGAGTGAGTTTGTGTGTGTATGGGGGTGGGGGGGATGTGAGAAAACCTGGATTTGTGCAGGAAATAGCCCAACTTCATTATCATGCACATTGTGTAAAGAGTTGTCACTTTGGATGGGCTATCACCAGCAGGAGAGTGAATTTGTGTGGGGGGGTGGAGGGTGAGAAAACCTGTATTTGTGCTGGAAATGGCCCAACCTGATGATCACTTTAGATAAGCTATTACCAGCAGGACAGTGGGGTGGGAGGAGGTATTGTTTCATATTCTCTGTGTATATATAAAGTCTGCTGCAGTTTCCACGGTATGCATCCGGTGAAGTGAGCTGTAGCTCACGAAAGCTCATGCTCAAATAAATTGGTTAGTCTCTAAGGTGCCACAAGTACTCCTTTTCTTTTTGCGAATACAGACTAACACGGCTGTTACTCTGAAACCATACATTTGAGAGTAACGATCAAAATACTGGAGTGGAGGTTACCATTATACACACAAAAGAATAAAATGCCACAAGATGGAAGGGGGAAAAAAGGGTCTCAAAATGAAGTTACTATGCAGCAGGACAGATGAGGAGCCTTTGTCCAAAAAGTTTCTATAACACTATTGGATCAAATCATTATTATCCTGAGGCTGAATTTAAACAATAATGTTTAGTAAATATATCCAAATGTCACATAGCTGCCTTGCTAAAGTCCAGTTGGAAAAACAGTATAAGTGTACTGCTGCAAGACCAGCCTTTTAATAAATGGTCCTTATCATGACCTTTGAGCAGGAGGCCTACCATGGTATAATAATTTGGTATAGTAGAACATAATGACTTGATGTCCTCATAAAATAAAAAGTTAGTGACTATGGCCTTAAGTCTGCTCCAGATAAAAGCTTAGTGACTTTTAACAGCAGGCTTGTAGTGAAAGTCCTCACTGTGATGGACATGTGGGGCAAGGAAAAAAAAGTTGGGATGACCAATCAAGATGGAAACATTTTAAGACCCTTTTGCAGCACCATACTATCTTCAAGGTGATCGTACTTTCGAAATCAAAAACCAAGACATTCATAGATGCAACCATAGAAGGGGGGGGGGAAGGGTCAGGAGGAAGAAAGGAAGAAAGAAGAATTTTATTCAACATAAAAAAGACAAAATTGGGAGACAGACAGCATAGTAAACCAGGGCTGGCCCAAGGCAAATTTCTATCCTCATCGCACATTTTATCCTTTCCTTCTAAAGTAATTTTTAAAGTGTGGTTACTTATTACATCATTGTGCATTTACCTTTTCTATTATGTAAAAACTTGTTAAAATTTACTGTTTCCCTTGCATTAGTTCTTTTTACATAGGCCTTGCCTATACTGCCACTTTACAACGCTGCAACGTTCTCGCTTGGGGTGTGAAAAAACACCCCCCCGAGTGCTGCAAGTTTCAGCACTGTAAACTGGCAGTGTAGACAGCGTACCAGCGATGGTAGCTACTCCTCTCGTGGGGGTGTTTGGTTTTTTTTATAGCACTGGCTACACAGCCACGTTAAAATGCTGCATTGCTAGTGAAGACATACCTTTACTCTTCACTCTTCTCCTTCCCTCTAACATACAACTATCTTTTCCCAGTCTTTATTTTCCATTCAATATCATTTTTCTACATTGCATAATAACTGTTCTCTCTCTCACCCTCTATCTTTTCTCCCCAAAAATATGTTAGATATTCCTCCAAGTTTCCAATCTCTCCCCACTCTCCCCCTAGTGCTCTTCTCCTGTGGACACTTGTGGAGTGGACATTTTTAATGTCACCAAAAATAGCTATACAAAAAGGAAAAAATACCCTTTTTTGAATGTGTTGGTGTGACTACTGCCAACATCTGATTCAGTGACATGCATCTCTCTTGGACTGGAGGATTTTTTTCCAGTAACTTTTAGTGTTCTGAATGAGTCATAAAACACAAACAGGTGTTATTAATACAGTATTCATTTTGAACAAAAAAAACATCTATGCTAATTTGAATTTTCACTCCAAACACTGATCACAATGAACACTCATTCTGCTGGACGTCATCGTGAACACAGTGTAAATTTAACACTATACAGGAATAAGTCTTGAATTAAAACAAAAACATCTGACTGATTAAATGAAAAGCTGTTTCAGGTGTTCTGAAAAGTTCCTGGAATATTGTATCAATGTTCTGGTAAAGCCACTTTTCTAGTCTTCAAATACTTTATAATAAAGGTGTATTGATCACTAGGACCTGAAGTTCACTTCAGCACACTGAATATGTCACTGCCAACAGGGAAGCGGTCTCCAAGAAACTTAAGCTCACAGGTATAGAGTTCAGATTTCACAGTGGTAGCGGTGTTAGTCTGTATCAGCAAAAACAACGAGGAGACCTTGTGGCACCTTAGAGACTAACAAATTTATTTGGGCATAAGCTTTTGTGGGCTAGAACCCACTTCATCAGATACATGGAATGGAAAATACAGGAGCAGGTATAAATACATGAAAGGATGGGAGTTGCCTTGCCAAGTGTGAGGTCAGTCTAATGAGACAATTCACTTAACAGCAGGATACCAAGGGAGTAAAAATAACTTTTGAAGTGGTAAGGAGAGTGGCCCATTTCAGACAGTTGACAAGAAAGTGAGAGTATAGGGTTGTTTTTTGTGAGGGCCCACTGGCAGTAGGTTTTTGCCAGGCCATACTAGTTTTTTCTTCCTTTCCTGCTAGCTAATTGGTCATTAGGAATTTCCTGGGTGATACCATCCATTTCCACACCTGTAGAGTTCTCTAATCACAATCCTGCCTTTTCCAGATTGTTTCTGTAGAACACACACATACCTATGGACTGGTCAGATACATGGCCACAAATGTTACATGTTTGTAAACATGCAGTGTCATAACAAACCCAAAAGGCATCAACTCAGAACTGGTAGAGCTGTTTCCTTACTGAAAATCTGAGATACACCAGGTGGTTGAAATGCATCCATACATGCATGGTAAAATCCAGGGCATACAAAAGAGGTATAATTTTTCCTAGTGACAATTATTAATGTTACTTTTGACAGATAAAAAAAAATCACCTATGTTTCCAAGATCTAGAATGGGTTTGAACCTGGCTATTATGAACATCAGCAAACCCTTGGAATAAACCCACTTTGTTCTTTCACCTGGCAGCATACTATTCTAAGAGTAATTTAATTTCTTGCAATCTCTCTTCCTCGTGCAGTTGAATCTGAGAATATTTAAGAACAATACTTTGATATAATTTCTCTAAAGCAATTCTGTATCCCATTAGACAATGCTGAGGATTGATGTGCTCTAGGTAACCACAAGCCATTAGAGAAAAGAAATCACTAGTTGCCCTCCAAAAAGACAGATCCTCCCAGGCAGATACTGCTACAGTTTGGCAATTTGCTGTAGGTTTTTGCTGCTTGTGATTTGACTGAGAGATGGAGTGCCCCAACTCTAAGTATACTAGTCACTTCAGATACCATATTTAAGATGCGTAGGCTCGCTCCTTTTTCTTAGCCCCTCAGGAACAGGAGGGCAACTGAGGGTCAATGGGTGGCTTTCCCCCCTTTAGCTTTAAAGACAAGGTCTTCATCTTTTCTCCAAAAGATTCATCATATGGAATATCTTCATGCTTCTGCTGAACCTCTGTATGAAAGCCTTATAAATGTAACTAGTCAAAGAGCATCAGTCCCAGAAATAACTGCATTTAACATCTTTGTCTGTTACAAATCTGTAAAATGGGGCAATTTAGATGAAGTTTGAAAATATACAGCATTTAAGAATCTCACAAAGTGTTATCCCCATTTTACAGATTAGGAAATGGAACCTCAGAAAGGTTAAGTGACTTGCCTCGAGAGCACTGTGGTCTAGTGGAATAAGCATTTGTCTAACAATAGTCAAGACAAGGGTTCTAATGTACTGAGTTCCTCTCTGACCTTGGGCAAGTTAACATCTGAGCCTCAGTTGCCCAAACTGTAAAATGAAAGAGACATTTGCCTACTTCATAACTAACATGGAAAAGTATTTGATAATGTAAGCGCTAATTGTAAAGGTCAGTCAACAGCATAGGTAGGAGAACTCAGGACCTTCTGACAACGAGAAAACCTCCACATAATACATTTTAAAAGCTTTTCAATATAGGATCTTTCTGGAGTTTTTTGTTGGTAAAGCCCAAATATAGAGAAAACCACCTTTTTATAAACATATAATCTAAGAGAAAAAATTTTTAAACATTGCTAATAAATAAGGACAGTTTTATATTCTTAAGTTCTATTTTTACATCACTGTGTAGCAAATTTCCAGATATTAGTTCTCATTATCATAAACAGGAGATGCACAGTTTATCTACCTTACTAACTATGTCTCATCTTCAAATAGCTCCTCTTGGGATTGTTTCATTTTTAATATTACTCTCCTGGGCAAAGAGGTAGAGGGATAGTAATTGCTCATGTATGTTCAGCCAACAGCTTTGATATAACAACAAAACACTGAATTACCTGACCATCTAAATTTGTAAAAATGACATCTGAGTCAACAGTCAAGGGATACTTAAAACAGCCGCTATGACACAGGATGGGGGCAGTAATAGGGAACATCATAGCAGATGCATTCACTTAAATAGAAGTTCAAGCTTCAGGTAAGTTTCAATTTGCCCATATGTGCACATAGCCATTCCAGGCTTTCAAATCTGTAAATTGTTAACCATTTATAAGCACTTCTCAGAAGTCCTACCTGAACGCTTAAGCAATATTTAATGCCTACTATACTTGCTAATGAAGCTGTCAATTTAAAATGAGGAAGTTTAATGGGTATTTTAATCAAAATTTTAATTCAAGTTTAAAATTGTTAGACTTTTTTAAAGGTGCATAATTATTTCTATTGTTCATTATTAATTATATTGGTCTACACATATCTCTTCTACATCTGATTTCAGTAATGTAAAAATAAACTAAAAGTTAACAGCAACTTTCTCTCAAACAAAACTAATGAATCTCAGAAAACATATTACAGAATGGGGCTAAGACATCCAAACATTACTAAGTCATTACAAATCTATTACATTCTTATGTCTCTTGTTAATTTGATGATCATAAATGCAATAAAAAGAACTCAACTCTTTCAAGAATCAATTGCAGTTCAAGAACAGTACTCACCACTTCTTCCAGTGCAGCACTTCTCCCAAAAGAACAGGTGAGGTGTGTGAGGCAGTTAACAAACGAAGAGAAAAGTTCATTTGGAATGGCAGTTAAAACATTGCGAGGAAACACAGTTATCAGGTTGCTGAAAACACTGGAGATTCCCATTGCTTCAGAGTCCTCTATTTCAATTCTATAGATAGAAACAGCAGGGTTGGGTTTTTTTAGAAATTAGGAAAAAAGCTTAAAATTGGTCATTTTATGGATGACTTCTTGCATTTAACAAACCAATATATACTTTATACTCTTTTCAGGAAATACCCTTTTTTTAAAAAATGTTATTCCATTTTAACAGTCCAACTCCAAACAAAAACTATGCAAAGAAATAAGCCACACTGGCTCTCTCCTTCCACTCCAAAGTAAAGATTAAAAGATGCCATCTAAATGTAAAGGGCAAGTGTACATACCCATTGACAGTATTCAGTAATCCCTCAATGAAATGTGCCAGATAATCAACTTGTGAACCTTCATCAGGAAAGACTGGCCCATGCAGAGAAGCTAGCTGTGCTAGGCACTGTAGAGAGTCTTGTGCCATATCTGTATCCTCTCTGATTTTTCGATGTACCTTTTACGAAGTGAAATAAATTAATTATACATGGAAAAACAGCGTGTTCTTACAACAGTCACATGGCTCTCAATCCAAAAGAGCAGACACCAAAAACATTTTACCCTAATTTCTAGTCAATCTGAAATGACACTGCTTCTACAGCATCTCCCTAAACAAGAGTAAACATCAAGATTGCTCCTCAGTTTATCAACGTCATGAGCCATGACTTAACTCACCAAAACTAACACTTAACTGGGTCCTACCTACATTTTAGAAATTGAACTGTTTAGTGCATGTTATGTCTTAAAGAGAGAAACAGATGCCAGCCAGTCAGACATACTGCTCCTTCTAAAAACAGCAATAATGACAGTCATCTGTATTATGCTAACTATGCCTAAGCTACAGCGTCTTGCTAAAGTTAGTTGATAAATTCAATCAAGATTATATAGATGCTTCTTTAGCAGAGGTAAACACTGAAGGCACACAAAACAAGTGCACCTCACCTTGGTAACATCTCCGAGACCACCAGTAATTTTTTCTCATTTCTGCAAATGGAGTGTTACACTACTACTTATATGATTATCAATTCTGGATTAAAATAAATCTAACATCAATAGATTTAAAACACATTCTTACATATTTATTGCAATTATGAAATATGGACTTTAAGGCTTTTATTAGGACAAGCATTTTATTTCTACAGGACAAAACAAATAGTATAATATAATGGTATAATAAATACTAGTACAGCCAGTCTCTCAAAAAAAAACCAGTCTTGTTAAATTGATATATATATAAAAGCAAAGTTAAATCTTTATTACCATTTCTCTATTTAGCCCACCTCAAATGTTATCCAAGTGATAATTGTGCAACTAACATGAACCTCTAAATGATACAGAAAGACAAGTTACAACTATTTTAACTTGTGAAAGATCAAATCACATGAAAACACAATTTTGGAATTTAAAACAATTCTTCCCCACTCCACCCTATTAAAATAAACCTTACACCATGTAGAAATTAGGATTTTTCTCCTTTAAAATGGCAGTCTTACAAAACTTAGAAGTATTCCAATTTGTTAGTTCAAATAAGTGTGTAAATTATCACAGTTCATTTAATTTTTGTATTTGAACAAGAATTTGATATCTACAGAAGCAAAGGCTTCAAATTACTTCAAATGCAAAATAAGTCTTTAAAAGACTTAAGCAGTGCTACTTAAAACAAAAGTAACGAAAGTGTGCTGTTTTGATTTTTGTTCATTCACAAATGATGTAACAAACTGATGTATTCTTTAGTTTCCATTAAATAAAATAAATGTTTAGTATTCAGAAGAATTCATCTTCTGTATGCGATGGATAAGGCAGTTACTCAAAATTTAACACTGAAGAACAAATCAGAAGTCAAACATTTAACTCAGGGACTTCCTAATACAGTTAAACTAGAAAGGGTTAACCTGTAAACCCAAAAGTTATTTGCATTAGGAGGTTCACAGCTGACAGTAGCAACTGTCTAGATCGTCTAGACAGCTGTTCAGATTGTGTGTGGCTGTTAAGAGTTCTGCCAGGAAGTTTTTCACCTTTTCAAGAACTGCTGGAGCAAGATAAATTTTCAGTCAAACAAATGAATCTCCTTTATAAAACACTGAAGATAGATGTGCATTCAAACTCACGTGTCAGACAAATCACTTTTGGTTCTAGAGATTTATATATGCTACATAGTACCCACCCCTAAGAGTTTTGAGTATATTATTTCTCTGCTTTGCAAAAGGAACCCTAGCTTGAAGAATGTTGAGCTGTAAGATCCCAAGAGATGTGATATAAAATAAGATTAGCATGGCAGTTTACATAAATAATTTGAATGCTGTTGCTGGGCTGACTGCAATTTAAGCAAATATTAACAAAAAATAGTGGTAGAAAATTACTTTTACCCAGCTTTAAGATCAGTTTAAAAAAAAAAAACAAAATAACCATGTGTTGCTCAGCTATTTTCTAGTCAGATCTACTGTTGACCTTTTTGGTTTATATCCAGCTTATAATGAATGGAGTTTTATGCTAAACTTGGATGGAGAAATGCAAAGATATTGCTAGTTTTCAACTGTTCTGTTGAGCAAAGTGTTACAGGAGCAGTGAAAACCTATTGTTTAGCTGATATTTGTAGAGCGGCAACACCTTAGCTAAAAAGGTATCTGATAACACTGCTCACTCATTATGCTCAGAATTTCATCTGGCAAATAGATATGCCCAAGATATGAAATGAATACATGATTAATTTTTAAAAGAAAAATAATTTAAGATACTTTACATGCAAAGCATGTTGATCACTTGATAGGAAAAGAAAATCAATAGTCCACCATCACCTTAGAAACTTGCTAGGGTAAAAATTGATGTTAACAGAATTAGTCTTACCTGGTACAAAAGGAAGAATCCAACAATAATGTTTTAAAAGGAGGAAGGAGTTGCTTCTCTGTGACCTGTATTATGAAAGTTGAAGAAGAATGAGACTTACTGTAAAGAAAAGCTCCATAACTCTGATGTCCAGGAGGGTTTCACGCCACAACTCTGTTGGCTTTAGCATCACATTTTGTGAGGATTCAAACATAGCTATATAATGTCTGCCCAGTTATCTGGTGTCAAGGTCAACAATAACATTCCTACTTGCCTTTAAAAAAAATCCTAGATACAACAGGATCCATTCAGAAAGAATGTAATGGAAACAATCTTTAAGCCTCTCCACATACACAGCATAATTCATGCATGAGGCCAAGGAATAAAAGGTATTAAGTATTGAAAAAAAGAATGCTCCAGGAATGTTAGATAACAGTTTGATCATAATTATGAGACATACCATAGTGATATGATCACTTTGATAACCGGGATATCTAATGTGACGGGGGAGAAGGGAAAAAAGCAACCGCAATTAACAGGTGTTAAAATTTATGCAAAATAGGAAATCATTTTCTAAAAAATTTTCCTGGCAGCTTTTATAAAGGCCTTATGATTGCTAAAGATAGCTCTTTGAAACATATATCCTATTTTTCTAAATAGCCAAATATGCTTCACAGAATGAAAATATGTTCCCCCCTGTATTACTCTAAATTTTTTTATCATGCTAGGAAGAATAAAAGCATAAGGCACCACAAGTCATTGTTCTATTAAGCATATGTTCTTAAAAGAGAAACCAAGACACACGCTGCATCTATGAATTCATTGCAGAGAACCATCTAATTGCTCAACATTAAATTACAAGCATGGAAATCTGCAAATGTTAGAGTGCTGGATAACCAGAGAGGCAAGAAAACACTTAAACATGTAAATCCACTGCACTCTGTGTCACTCTATGATTATACTAAAGTATATAAATATTTAGAGAGACATTGAGAATATGCAACACATAATACTACATGTGGTTAAAGGCATCATATATACTCCAGATTTCTCAAAATATGCAAAGTTCTAGACAGAGTTTATACTACACTAGTAGATGTCAATAAGCTGTACTCATATTGATCACATTATTCAAAAGAGTAAGCAAGTGGGAAATTTAAAATATAAAATAAGTGGCATAAACAAAAGTGTGAGCATAAAGCAGGGCGCAACATTTTTACTGCCACTTGTTTGAGGAGACATCATGAGTACCACAGTGACTCCAATCATACGACAGCAACCAAAATAGAACCCCACCACCATCATACACAGTTGAACCCTCGTATAGTGAAGTAATTTTTTCCACAGAGCAATTTCATTGTAAGTGGGAGGTTCACTATAACCAGAACTGCAATCAACATATAATGAATTGAAAAAATTCAGGACTTTTATACTACTTCAATACAAAATGAAATTCATTACATACAAATTTACCAAATGTATATGAGAACAGTATGGACTCAGAGATACACAATAGATTATTTCATACAGAAATATAAGATAACGGAGTTTTTGGTCTCATTTATGTTTGAGAATATAAATAAAAGCTTAAGAATTTTTATAAAGTGATGATGAAAGTATTTCAGTTTTTTGGATGAAAATAAAATATTGGTGTAAGTTATTATAAGAAATAACAATCCTTCACCAAAACTTTATAATTACTCTCAGGTGCATTTCAAAGCACTTAGCAGTAGTCTAAATTGTACAGTAAGTTATGAATGATTTTCTCCACCCACGGTAAACTGATGAAGAAAATACAGCAAGATAAGTTATTCTTTACTTGTAAAAGTACTCTTCTCCTTAATTCTGTACCAAATGAATATGAAATATAGAAGTACCATAAGAGGATTAGAGATTCAATTTACTCATTAGTAGGTCTAATTTACAAATGGGACCAGTTACATATACACACCTAATTTGGAATGAAAGAAGGGCTGGTTTACTGTCACTATTTTAACAAGCCTCAGTATTTAGTAGTCATATCCTGTTATTTTTAGAACTGAATCTCATACTAATGGCCTGATGACACATCTGACAATAGAAGATTTGTAAGTGAAATAACGTATATGTTCACGAAACAATCCAAAATGAGACTGCAGCTACAGCAGAGAACCTGGAGCTCATTTTCCAGAACATGTCATTGTACTAGTGCTAGTAAATGTATAATTGCTAGTGTAGATAGGGCTCAGGCATGCTTATCACAGTGTCATAAACACTTGCTTCAGGAACACTACAGTGAAATTCCTGGTCTATGCTATGGTTTACACTGTTATTAGCATTGGTCCATCTGCAGCAGAGCTGAAAAATGGGTATGAAATTTGATATTGCACATGCAGCTTCTGATGCTACCCGTGATAAATGCTGGCTTTGTAACATTGTTATCAAAAATGAATTTGAAGACTGTCAATGCTCTTAAAGCAACAGAAATATGACTAAGTTGTGCAATACTTTTTCCAGGAGTTCAGACAGCAATATAGTTTAAAAATAAAAATGCCACTGCACCACCCTATAATATCACAGAAAAACTAACTCAATTTTTTTAAATTAATTTTTTTTTTAAAGAGCATATCCTTAAAACAGATCACTGGTGATACCACACAAATGCACATTAAAAACAACCAATAGGAAATTCAACTTTGTACTGAGATAATGTAAAATACAGAGATTCTTACAGAAGCTGGAAGTCTTTTAAAATCAGAAACAAGATTATTCAGTGAACAGTCTCAAATTGTGCTGAGAAGTATAATAATGTAGAAATTTCATTCATGCCATGACATACAGTAAGGCAAATGTATTCACAGGTGCTTTTGCTGGAAGAGAACAATTGCAGTTCATACTGAAGTATTGTTTTGGAAGGGTTCATTTAGCTTACATTGGTTCCTCTCATCCCAATTTATGTATGCACCCACCAATGTCATGATGAGCATAGTCTTTACAGCTTAGAGAAATAAAACCATGTTTTCAAACAAGGGCAATCACTGGGAAATTAAAATGATTTTCAAACTATATATGCTCTAAGTATTACTTACAATTACACACATTTTTATTGATACTCTTACTATTAATGAATATCTACACAACATACAATAGGTGGCGTTAACCTCCAGCTCTATACATAGGTCAGCCTTCTCTGCAGCGCAGCCAACTTCCATGACTCCCCTGTGGAAGGCACTCTGTGGGTCCAGAGCCCATGAGTAGGGAATGGACAGGATATGCACTGCTGCCCCTCTGACCCTCAAGAGGTGGGGCTATATTATCTTTTCCACAAAACCTCTCCATGGTCTGAGGGCAGCAATTGGGGATTAGAGCAAGTGTTGTAGCTCAGGGCCTTCCGCAGATCCACCAGGTTTGGTGGTGGGTCCCCACAGCCTATTCCAGGTGAAAGCAAACCCTGCCTCTTCCCAACACAATAGGGGAGTAGTTCACAATCAATGCTTTGATTTCCTCTGACAGATTTCTCCCACTGGTGTTTCTGCAGGAGAGGATGATCTGGTGTATTATGAGATATTTGTTTCAAAGGTCATTTTAATCAAGCTTTAGAACTTGTTTGGAGAAAAAGTGTTTCAAGTACAATAGAAGTACTCCTATACATATGTTTTACAGATAATTAACTAATTTAAATAGAATCTAACAGCTGGAAGTCTGCTGTACAACCTTGTAATGCCAGTATACTGATTATATTTAGAGTTTAAAGACTGTTTCTGGTTTGAAACTATGCCAAGCACATGGCCAGGATCTGAGAACAACTCACTAACACTGATACACAGACGGACTGGGATTGGTCCCTATGGGAAAGGGACTCTCAGTCTATGAGGGATCTTACAAACCCTCGTAAGTCCGTACAGGATAAGCCTTTCATGTTTGACTTTTTTGGGGAGGTGGGGTTTAGGTAATAAAATGAGGAAAGCCCATGTTTGAATGCTTAGCATATTCTGCTTTAAAAAAAAAATCAGCCTACAATTTTAAATACTAAACTTTTTCCAGGACAGCATAATTAACAGTAAGGCTCAATTACCTTGCAGGTGAGGTACTGGACTCAGAACACCTAGGTTCTGTTCCCAGCTTTGCCACAGACTTCTTGTATGCCAGTCACTTACAGCCCAGTTTTCAGAGGTGCCAAAACTGGAGTTGTGTGCACTCAACACCTTGAAAAGTCAGGCCTTTAATCTCTGTCTCATTTCCTCTTTTTTTAAATGGGGATAAAACTGCTTCCTTACCTCCCAGAGGCACTGCAAGATCTATTAACGTTTTCAAGGTGCTCAGATACTACACTGCAAAATCAGAACTACTAACTGTGATATGTAACCTATCATTTCAATCAGCTTCTGTACCAGATGACTGGAAGGTAGCTAATGTGATGCCATTTTTTTAAAAAAGGCTCCAGAGGTGATCCCAGCAATTACAGGCCAGTAAGCCTAACTTCAGTACCAGGCAAATTGGTTGAAACTGTAGTAAAGAATAGAATTATCGACACATAGATGAACATGATTTGTTGGCAAAGAGAGAACATGGGTAGGAATAAATGGTCAGTTTTCAGAATGGAGACAGGTAAATAGTGGCGTCCTCCGGGAGTCTGTACTAGGACCAGTACTGTTCAATATATGATCTGGAAAAAGGGGTTAACAGTGAGGTGGAAAAATTTGCAGATGATACAAAACTACTCAGAATAGTTAAGTCCAAAGCAGACTGTGAAGAGTTACAAAGGGATCTCACTAAACTGGGTGGTCGAGCAACAAAATGGCAGATGCCCATTGGAAAACATAATCCCAACTTTACATATAAAATGATAGGGTCTAAATTAGCTGTTACTACTCAAGAAAGAGATCTTGCAGTCACTGTGGAGAGTTCTCTGAAAACATCCACTCAATCTGCAGTGGCAGTCAAAAAAAGCTAACAGAACGTTGGGAATCATTAGGAAAGGGATAGATAAGACAAGAGAAAATATCATATTGCCTCTATCTAAATCCATGGTATGTCCACATCTTGAATACTGTGTGCAGGTGTGGTAGCCCCATCTCAAAAAAGATATATTGGAATTGGAAAAGGTACAGAAAAAGGGAACAAAAATAATTAGGGGTATGGAACAGCTTCATATGAGAAGCGATTAATAAGACTGGGACTTTTCATCTTGGAAAAGAGATGACTAAGGGGAGGGATATGATCGAGATCTACAAAATCATGACTGGTGTGGACAA